TATCTGGTATCATGTTTCCCATTTCTTTCCCATTCCTTGTAGTGAAAGTCTAGTGACGATAAATTCTCTCAGCTTCTGTTTTCTGAAAAAGTCTTTCACCTTTGAGAGTTTTTCCTCCTCATAGGACTTTAAGGTGTCATTCCCCTGTTTTCTGGCTTGTGCTGTTTTCCATGAGACGCCGGTGAAATTTCTTACCTTTATTTTTCTGTATGTGATGTCTTTTTCACAGATTTTTCAGCATTTGATTACACTGTACCTTGATGTGGTTTTCTTTGTTTATACTCCATTTGTTTCATTTCTTGGATCTGTAGGTTTATGGTTTTCATGAAAACTTCATGAAGTTTTGGAAGAACTTCAACCATTGCTTCTTCTAATACTTTTTCTTTTTTCTGATACTTTTTCTGCATGCTCCCCTTACCTGCTTCTTAGGGTTCCACTACACATATGTTAGACTGCTCTCACAGTTCACTGATATTCTGTTGATTTTCAAAATCTTTTTCTTTCTCTGATTCATTTTGAATAGTTTATATTGCTAACTACTCAGTATTTCAGTCTTTCTTCTGTAGTGTCTAGTTTCCTATTATTTCCACCCAGTGACTTTTTAAAATATATTTTTATGAATATAATTTATTGTCAAATTGGCTTACATACAACATCCAGTGCTCATCCCAACAAGTGCCCTCCTCCATGCCCATCAACCATTTTCCCCTCTCCCCCACCCCTATCATCCTTCAGTTTGTTCTCAGTATTTAATAGTCTCTTGTGGTTTGCCTCCCTCCCTCTCTGTTTGTATCGACTTTTTTTTCCCCCTTCTCTTCCTCCATGGTCTTCTGCTCAGTTTCTCTAGATCCACATATGAGTGAAAACATATGATATCTGTCCTTCTCTGACTGACTTATTTCACTTGGCATAATACCTTCCAGTTCCATCCATGTTGCTGCAAACAGCAGGATTTTATTCTTTCTCATTGCCAAGTAGTATTTTATTGTATATATAAACCACATGTTCTTATCCATTCATCAGTTGATGGACACTTAGGCTCTTTCCATAATTTGGCTATTGTTGAGAGTGCTGCTGTAAACATTGGGGTATATGTGCCCCTGTATATCAGCACTCCTGTATCCCTTGGGTAAATTCCTAGTAGTGCTATTGCTGGACAATAGGGTAGCTCTGTTTTTAATTTTGGGGGGAACCCTCCACACACATTTGGTTTTCCAGAGGGACTACACCAGTTTACATTCCCACCAACAGTGTAGGAGGGTGCCCGTTTCTCCACATCCTCGCCAGCATCTGTAGTTCCCTGATTGGTTTATTTTAGCCACTTTGACCCATGTGAGGTGGTATCTCAGTGTGGCTTTGATTTGTATTTCCCTGATGATGAGTGACTCCATCCAGTGACTTTTAAGTTTCAGGCAATGTCTTTAATTCTTAAATGTTCAGTTTGGTTCTTTTTAATATGTTTTTTGGCCCATTATTTTCATTTAACTTCTTGAACTTATGTTCCTGTCTGCTAATTCCAATATTTCTGTCATTTCTATACCTGTTTTTTTTTTTTTTTTACATTGTTTATTTATTTTCAGAGAGAGAGCATGAGCGGGGGGAATAGAGCATGAGCACTGTCAGTACAGAACCTGCAGAGCCTGATGTGGGGCTTGAACTCACAAACCATGAGATCATGACTTGAGCCAAAATCAAGAGTTGGACAGCTAACCCACCAAGCCACCCACGCACCCCATATATCTGTTTTTATTTAATTGGTTTCCTTTTGATTAAAGATTTGTTTTTTCTTCTTGGAAAGTCTAGTGAGTTTTGATTGGATATTGATAGTGTAATGTTGGATATTGTTGAATGCCTGCATTTTGTTATATTCCTTTAAAAATTGTAGAATTTTATTTTAGTGCATATTTAAGTTGTAGATAAGCTTGCTTATTTTTGTGATGCTTGTTTTTAAGTACTATTGGCGTGGATATAAAGTAGCCTTTATTCCAAGGCTATTATAGCATCACAAATTAGGTAATAAAATTCCTCAGGCTCAACTGAATTCTTATTGTAGTCAATAAGGCCCCTCTGGTCAGAACTTGGATACCTCTCCATTCTGAGTGAGCTTTAAAAATCGTTTAAGCTACAGCTTGTGGTAGATAGAATAAGAAAATGACTCTCAGTAATATTCACCTTCAGTGGGTTTTTGGAAGATCCTGTGGATACAATCAATCCTGTGATTACATTACTTTATGCAGTAAAAGGAGAATTATTCAAGGTGGGCCTGACCTCATCAAGTGAGCCAGTTTTTTAAAAAGTGAGAAATTTCTTTGGCTGATTACAGAGAAGAAAATTCAATATATGAAAAAGCTGATTTATATATATAGTCCAAATGCGTAGCTGTTTATGGTGGGAAGGCAACTCTGGTATAGTCACTTAATCATGGAATTTTAAAATTCACTTAATTCACTTAATTTGGAACTTGTAGTAAAACCTGCTATTACCAGCCAATTTTTAAAACTAAAGGAAACTGAGTTAGAAGGAAAACAATTGAAAGAGATTCACCAGCTACATCCCCAAAATATGAAAACCATTCTTTTTTACCTTTTATTTTTAAGTTCTTTGCAAATATTTCATAATAATGAAGTACATAGGGAATAATAAAATAAAATTCTATAATCAACTTAAGAATGAAATATTATTGATACAGTGGAGGCCCTGTGTCCTTCCCCGCAGTCTTATCCTCCTTGGAGAGGTACCTGAATTTCATGGTATTGATTCCATGCATTTCTTCATATTTTACTTTATATACATGTACATCCTTAAAATTATCTTTGCCCTTTTTTGAAATTTATTTTCATACTGTCAAAATGTAGAATTTTCTTGGTTTCCTTTTTTTGCTTAATGTTTTGTTGTGAGAATGAAAAATGGATATGTACTTAGAACTCCACTGTATGAATATAGCACAGTTTTTTTATCCAGTAATAATTGAGACATTTAGGCCAACTTTTCTGAAGCAATGAATGCAGAAATTAACCTTCATGTGCATGTGACTAGAACACATGTGTGAGAGCTTCTGTCACAAATACCCTCCGTAGTGAAGTCACTAGATAGTAGAGCATGTATATCTTTAAATCACTAGATATTGACAAATATTCTTCAAAGGAATTGTCCCAAGTTGCATTCCTGCTATAGAGCTTCTGGTTGTTCTACATCCTTATAACCAGTGGTATTGTCAGAATTAAATTGTGAATAATTATATGGTTGAGAAATGCTATCTCATTGTGATCTACATTTGCATTTCCCTGGTAATTGATCAGATAGGGCCCCTTTTAATATGTTCACTGGCCAAATTGGCATGGAGATATTTATTCCCCAGCCTGGCCAGTCCAATTTCTCAAAACCTTTTAGGGTTGACATAAAGATCAAACATGTAAAACGATAAGATATGGTATGGAAAGTTTTCCTAAGTGTGAAATTATTCCCTGAGTCTTTGAAATTATTTCTGGTCATGACAACATGATTTTTGCCAACTTGCTTAGTTATGGCCATCTCAGCTTCTCCCCCTCTGCTTTTTCTTGTTGTAGAAAGAGTAACAGTAAACCTTAAGTCATTGAAGCTAAAAGCCAGGCTAAGTTATGAGAAGGAATAGAACTTTAGCTAACATTGGCAAATAATGGCAGGATTTGGTGAACTTGGAAGAACATGGTGGTTGTATTATATGTAAAAATACTGCAGGATTTTTGTTTGACTAAGGCCAGAAATGGATTCTCCATTATTCTGAATTTTCAAAATGGCTTAGATAAGAATTTGAACCGAGTGATTGACAATCTGAGTGTGTCAGTGCTATGTTAAATGGAACCTGGTAATTTTGAGGGTCCTTCTTCACTTTGTTCGGTGCCTTAGTGAGGAACTCATCCACAGAGCTTTCACAGATCCTTTCCACTGCCAACATGGAAATCTACCCCCAATTTTTTGTTTTCTAAGGAGGTAGTGAGTAAAATTGTATGTTTGCAAATATATCATCAGTAATTATTTCTGGTAGAAGACACCAAAAAAACTTACCCTGATTCTACTCTTGGTGTTAAATGGGTTTGACTTTGAGCCCAGGGAATGTGTTTTCTGCCCTTCCCATAATTTGAATTATCATTTGCCAAGCTATATTACAGTATGCTTCCTGCCTCCACCCACAGCTCTGGATCATCGATACTTTTCTCCCACGTTAGGTATTTCACAAATTATCGAATTGTAGTATTTCAGTGTCCTCCTCTGTGATAGTCCAAGTTACATGTAGTTGATGTAAGTAATTTAATTTGTAATTGATTTGGGAATGTACAACTGAAAGCTTTTGGGGGGGAATATGGTGTGGGTATCTATGTTACTTGGGAAAGATTTTATTTTATAAGAACAAAAAACCTGAGGAGGTCATATCATTCAGGTTGTCCCACAGAAAATCGTTCTATACCAGTTTTGATTATTGCATTCAGTTAATTTCTCTGTGACCCAAGGACTAGAAGCTTTCTACCACTTCCTGTGGTGGAAAAGGAGATTAGAGCATTGGAAGCTTTCTTCACATTCAGACAAAAGTGTCTCATTCATTTTTCAGGCTACCTTGATTCTTAACTTTGCACTTTTTAGATGTTTTTTAAACCCCACTAGTCAATGTAATTAATGAGACTACAGATGTGATATTTTAAAATAATGGACACGTCATCATGATATTTGATATTGCTTTGTGTTGGGCCTCTTTAGACATGTATGTGCATGCACATTTTGCATTTGTCTTGAGGCGAGCGAAAATGGAAGCAGTGTTTTTAGGATGAATTTTCTCACCTATGATAGCAAGTCGTAAATATCTAATTCTTTTTTTTTTTTTTTTTTACTTGTCATGCCAGCTCTTAAATATGCTTCTGATCATCCCTTATCATGTGTCATGTTGCAAAGTTGTAGCTTGCTCGCCATCCTACGGCTGGGGCCTCTTTATATCTTATTGACTAACACCAGCTGTTGTCTCCCTCCAGGTCATCCAGGCTGTCTTCTTTGGTATTTGTGTGCTGACTGATCTTTCCAGTCTTCTGACTAGAGGAAATGGGAACCAAGAACAAGAAAGGCAGCTCAAGAAGCTCATCTCGCTCCGGGACTGGATGTTAGCTGTGCTGGCCTTTCCTGTCGGGGTTGTGAGTATAATGTAGAATGCTTTTAACCATAGAAAAAAACTTAAAGGGCCTTATTTCAGACTTCTAAGAGAAAGAGAAGGGCTCACTGTAGCAGGTGTCTGTATTAGTCTGCTTAGGGCTGCCGTTACAAAGCACCACAGACTGCGATGGGAGGGGTAGGGCTTAGCCAACAGATATTTATTTTCTCACAGTTCTAAAGACCGGAAGTCTGAGATCAAGGTGTTCACAGGGTTGGTTTCTTTTTCCTAAGGCCTCTCTCCTTGCCTTGTAAGTGACCTCCTCCCTGTGTCCTTGCCTGTGTATCTGTGTCCTAATCTCTTCTTCCTATAAGGACATCAGGCAGACCGGATTAGGGCCCATAGATGACTGCATTTAATTTTAATTACCTCTCTAAAGGCCATACCTCCATATATAGTCACTTCTGAGGCACTGGAGATTAGGACTTAAACATAGAAATTCCAGGGAGATGCAGTTCAACTCAGAACAGCTTCTCTAGCAGCCCAAACTTGAAATGTACGGTCCTTGGGTCTATGACCATTCTAGTATTTTTTAACTTGAGAGAGGAAGTCAGCATTAGCTCATACTGCTTCATTCACCCAACTGTACCATTAGCTAATATCACTTAAGTAAATGCTGTTTAATGTTTGGATCTCTTCTGGCTTCATTGATTTTCATTATTTTCAGTTAGATGCACTCCATTGCTTGACTTCCTTCACACATCTCTTAATCATCCATTGTTTATACATAGACAGTGTTTCTTTAAAAGGTCAGGGCCCCGTGAGATTATATAGATTGTAACCTGTGGATAGGCACGAAAAGAGGGAGAAAACTCTTATAGGTCTCAGATTGTGAAAATAAGGAAGAGTGGGTTACCTAATTCAAGTTCAGGCCTTTCATTTACCGGCCAACGAATAGGAAAAAAAAAAAAGGCCAGGTCTAGCATATGTACCAAGCCCAAGGTCTATAGTAGGCAGAAAGTTGTTTTTTTAAATACTTCCAGTGGCTCTTATTCATATTTGCCAGCTCTATAGCTGGGAGAAGATGCTTGTTCTAAGACCAATTAGTAAGCACCCAGACTATCACTGAATTGCTTTTTCTGTGTACTAAGTTGTATTTTCTTGGGTGAAATAGACCTTAGCTTCTGACAGCAACACAAGGAGATTATTATAATCTGGTCACGCTCCTCTGCTCGTCCCCTCGTCTTTTTCCATTGAAAACCTAATTGGGTGCTCAGATTGAAACCGTCTAGCAAATCTCTCAAATTCCATTGCTTAACCCAACAGAACTAGATACTTTACCTATTATTTAGTATTTCCTTCTTTGAACTTGACATATAACATTCAAATGCTTTCTATCAGAATAACCATCTAAGAGAAAATTTTCATTGGCACAAAGTATAAAGATTTGTACTCTGTGCATGAAAGAATTATCTAGAATATCCAAGTGTGTGTAGTTTTTGTTTCTTTTTACTGGCTTGTTCCCTTGGAATTTCTATAGGTATGTCATTACCTCTGGAAGCCTTCCTTGGCTGTGAGGAACACAGTAACACAATACAGAAGTAAATAGGAATACATGCTAACATTTTCTCTTTGCTCTGCCTCTCTCCTTCTGTTGTGTGGTGTCCGGCTGTGTTTCTAGGGCTTCAGTTCTGTCTCTTGCCACTCTCATCAAAGGCACACTGCAAATGCCCGTTAGACGTTTTTGACATTACTTTGGCCAGAAACTTTTTCCACCTGCTTGACACTTCAGATGCTTGTCAGCTTTCAGTGTCTCCTGAATTTGGTCATGTATGCGTCATGGATTGTAACAAGAATGGGAGACTTCATGGTTGCTTGTTTGATTATATTTGCTGTGTTCCTCTGTTTTCACCAACTTTGTGGTTTGCTCTGTGGTTTGAAAAAGGGAAGAGAGGTAAGAATACCTTTAATGTCACTCCTCCTTTCCAGCTGAGAAATCATGGCGTCACATGTCACTGCATATGTACGCACCTTTCCCAGGTGGTGAGCTTCACAGAAGGCTGTAAAGATAATGAATCAAATGAACAGTTTCACTTATTTCTTTAACTCTTATTTTTTGCTGATATTTTATAGTCAATATTTACATGTTTTTATAATCTTCCCTGTTATTTATGAGTCACTTTCCTTTTTAGAGCCACTAGTCTTTTCTTTTAACTGAACTTTTGAAGTCCCTCTGTTATAGTTCCCTCTCTCTCTCCCTCCCTTTCTCTCTCTCGGTCTCTCTGGTATTTGGAAGCGTTTTGAGCAATATTCTCCGGAAATCTCCTGATGTTTTCCACTGTTCCTTACTTTATGATTTAAATTTTTGCACCTAGTTTGCCGATTTCTCAAACTAATACACAGAATTGCATTCTGAGCCCCCCGAAAAAAACCCAAAAAACGAAACAAAACAAAACACAAACCTGGATAACTACCTGTTTCCCAGACTCCACTAATTTTATAGCAAAATCATATTTACAAAGGACATGGATTTGTCTCTTTATTTGCATTTTAATGCAAACTGATTTTGTTTCATTAAAACAAAATTTTATGGGTTTTCACCTTTCTGTCCCCAAGTTTGTTTCCCAGCTTTTCTTCCCAGTGTGCCCTTATCTTTGCTGTGACTTCAGAGGTTTTCCCTTGCCCCTTCTGTGTCTCTCCGGTACCATCTGGTTGCTCAGTAGGGTCTGGAATTTCAGTGTGTTTTATGACTGAACTTTTTCTCCCTTGTTAAAATGCAAACCCTTCCCGGAGCAGTGCCACTAGGAATCACTTGAAGAGGCATCATCTTTACTCTTTCTGTGGCTCCTGGCCTGAGAGGGAGGTGCCCCTCCTGGTGGGTTCATTTCACCGGAAGGATAGGAATAGCATTAATGCCTGGGACCTGATTTGATGGACATGTCCTTATACCTGTAGGCATCTATAGTGTGCGAATGATTATCATGTGTGAAAACGATTAATTATAACATTTGTAATTAAACACCTTTTGCCATGTTGATTGACACAGTCAGAATCCTAAAAGGCAAAGCACCCGAACACTCACCTGTGCCCTGAGAGCCTTGGGCATGGCTCAAGCTTCTAAGCAGCAAGGTGCACAGCCCAGCCTCAGCTTAGAACCAGCCTGCGGTCCTCCCCACGCCCCCCCAGGCCTCCTCTGGGCCCTGGCTGACTGCCAGCCTCACAAAATTCCTCCCCCACCGCTCCCTCCTCCTGGCTCCCGTTAATCTTCACCTTTTGTTTGTCAGCCAGAAGTTTGCAGGGAAAGTAATGTTATTTTTGCTTCCGGGCAAGCGCAGGGCAGAAAGGCAAGGGGCTCTGATAAGGGGGCAGAGGGGCACCCTCAACTCCAATTTTCCTGAAGAGACCTCTTAGCCCCAAGCTTTTCCTGGCGCTCCCATTATCTCTCTTTCTTTCTCTCTCTCACCTCCACTGCAGCTGTGGCAGCAAGAAAGACATGGGCAGGTTATCTAGGATTTGTATTGTCTCCACTAATGCTTCCTCCAATAACGAGGTTAATTGAGAGTTGACAGTAATTGCTTGATGTGGGCATGAAGCGATAAATATGATTTTTGTGACCCATGGACCTAATGCGTCTACTTCATGGACTCTTTCTCTAGGATATATAAAGATAATGAAACATTCCAACCAAAGATAGTTGGAGTAAAGTTTTGCTGGAGCATAACCTTGAAGAAATCAGGCAGGGTTGCTTGAGTGAGCTCAGGCTGTATCATCCTGATTTGTGCAGATTCCCATAAATGCAAAGCTGGCCTTGATTAGTAACGCTAATGGCTGGAAACCACCACCACTCCCAAAGCCTTACAACTCATTTTGCAGGGATAACCCAAGGGAGGTTCTTCTTACCATGTGCAGTTTATTTCTGAACCCTGTCACCCTTTTAAAGAAGCATTACAAATAATGCTATGACATTATGTGGTCTGGAAGCACTGAAGTTTATTAGGAGCAATCAAACCAAGAATGTCTTTTGTCTCCTGTGAGTTTGTTGACTTTTGTGCCGGGCAGATACTCTTCTAGTTAAGAGAATAGGCTAAGGCTTTCAACCAGCCAACCAAACAAACAAACCAACAAAAAGATAAAGAATAAGTAGAAGAATGGCAAGAAAATGGGTATGATGGGTATGAAATTGTTTCTCTCAAAAATTCTAAGTGTGTCTCCAACCGGTATCCGAAGTAGCCCATTTAATGGCAAAGAATCATCAAACATGTGCCATTAATTCAAGTGTGTACATCCCATTCATTTGCGACTTCTTAGCCTGCATGGGACATGGAATCAAATCTCACCACCTCCCCAGTGTACCTTTGTCCCTTCTGTTACTTGAAAGAAGCTAGGCTGTTGCTAAACTGACCTTGACTGATTGATGGGTGAAGATGAGGATGTCCCTCTCTGTATAGAGGGGGAGTGGGTCCAAGCAGGCCCTAGAAATTTGGGTTGTTCTAACCAGGGATGGGCATCCAGGGTGTCCCAAGCAAACCAGCATATGCCAAGATACGTTCTTTTGGAATTTGGGCTTTTTATCGGAGTTTACTCTCAGGTCTTTGTTCAGTTACCATTTCTGGTGTTATAAGTATATTGGTGTAAAGACTTGGTGAAGATTTTGTGTGTACCAACCTAGTCTAGACTCCTTTAAAACTTGTTTTTGCTTGTAATGAGGACTGTGTGATACCTGCTCCCTTAGGCATAATGGAAAATATAATTTGAAATCTCAAATGCAAACTTAAAGAAAAGTATCTAGCATTTATTTTCAAAAAGTGACTAAGTCTTTATTTATTGACATACTTGCTAACTCTGAGCCATTCTTCAGAAAAATTTTGTAAAGCATACAAATTTAGATCGTAATATCCCTACAATTTAAAAAACATTACTCGCCTTTCTGATTTTCAGCTAAGAGATTGGCTTACATGGAAAGCAAACATTAATTAATATTAATTACTAATATTAATATCTGTTAATATAACACATAAAGGAAGAGAATTTGATTCTATTTGAGATGGTATGAACCCAATGCTTTGTCTTCTATTTTGATATTAAGGAAAAAAATTTTAAAGCACATTATTTACTTTATTCTACAAACTCGGTTTAATATAAAAATACACTTAATATCCGCTGATCCTCTCTTTATTAAATTTTCACACAGGGCATGAAGGAGGGCACTTTGGGGATGAGCACTGAGTGTTATGTAGAAACTAATTTGACAATAAACTATTTGTAAAAAAAAAAAAAAAAATTTTCACACAGGTACCTAAAACCAAACTCTTTCCTGTTTTTCTTTTAAACCTTCGTTGATGTTTTAAGTTTCTTCAAATGCCCTTTTCCTTTCTCTTCACCTTTGAAGTTAAAAATATAATATCTGCTAGGTCATATTTTATGGTAAAACCCAGTTCATTTGGAGTGGAGGCAATCATATGCTTTCACCCTGCACTGAAATGAGTGTGAGTTGGGTTGCCTAAGAGGGAAGGTTCATAGATGAGGATTCATTCAAGATCAGTAAACAAGATTAACTTTTTCCTCCCTTACCAGGAGGAATGCTCAGGAGACTGTAATCACTGAACCTAGGTGAGTGGTCTTAACCTCATTTTTTTGGCTTGCCTTTTCCAAAGACCAAGGACATACTGTGATTAGATTGACATATGATACAGAACCACGTTGCTTCTCAGCCATCTTAGATATATTTTTTTCTCCTCAATGGAAACCAAAGATTTTCTGCCTAAGTGACCTATTTTATTTCTACACATTCATGCAAACTCAGAGTGGTCAGCCTTCTCAATGCTTGTGAGACAAGTTTCTTCAACACAAAAAATAATCACACTTTAACAAAATTTTCTATAGGTGCCCACTTTTCATCACACTTCAGTGGAAACCACACATATCCAGAACATATTCTGTCCTAGGGACAGAAGTTCTAGTCAAGTCAATAATTATTTGTGGAGCTTTTACAGGTAAACAGATAGTGCTAAGAGCCAAGATGGCAGTAAGGGTCGATCTTGTCCTTCAAGAGTCTCAGTCTAGAGAAATGACTTTATAAGCTATATCAACAAGGAAATTAAAAGAAGGCTTGGTATGTATAAGAGTGCATGGGTCTAAGGTACAGAAGTAGTCTAGAAGAGGAAGGGATTGATTTTAGTGTGTGGGAGGTCCCGGAAGTCTTCCCAGAAATCATGATGTCGGGAGCTCTGTTTTGAAGAATGACTACAAACTTATTGGATGTATGAGTTAATGATGCTTTCAGCTGCAAGTAACAGAATATCCACAGCCCTCCACCTGGCTTACTCTTTCAATTCATTCAAGTCTCTGTTCAAATGATTACCTCTCAGAAAAGCTTCCATGAATAATCAATATAAATTAGTCTTCCATTACTCTCAGTCTCTTTGCCTTGCTTTATATTCTCCAAAATGATTACCACTACCTGGCACTTTATATGTGTATTCTTTCACTTCTGTAGCATATGTCTCCTCTGACGTGGTACCCACCTTATGAGGCCAGGGATGTGGCGTGTTTGATTGACTGCTTGTAACCCAACCATCAGGAGTGATGCCTAAATAATTCAGTACTTATTGAGTGAACATCCACCCATCCAGTTGTGGCTTAAGCAATAAAGATATTTAGTATCTCAGAAAACAAAAAACCCATAAGCAGGTAGTTTCGGGATGGCATTGCTCAGTGTTATCATTTGAGACTTGGGCATTTTTTTCCGTTAACTTTTCTGTCTCCAGAATGTTGACCTTTTGTCCTTGAACTTGCCACCTACAGTCTCCAGAGGGTTGGAAAAGCCCAAGCATCGCTTCCTGTGCAACTCTGTTCAAGGCAGGAAGAGGAAGAAGGTTTTTCAGGAGCTGTCTGTATGTGTTTGTCTCTTTGTCAAGCTGGTGAATATTTCCTACAGGCCCCGGCAGCAGACCTCGTCACAGGTTTTGTCGGTTACAGCAGTCACATGGGTGTAACCAACTGCAGCGGAAGCTGGAAAAGCAAGTAGGAGAAGGGAGGATGTGTACCATGAAGGCTCAGAATAATTCAGATTGATCCTTATGGGTCGCGCGTGTTGCTGCCCAAAGAAAATCAGGAGTTTCAAGAACAATGAGTTACAAATATTTCGAATGACTGTGAAATGTAAACTAAGCAAAAACTAAAAGATTTTACGTGATTTGTTGTTCACCTATGTATGTTTTTATGAAAAATATATATAGTCAAACTGATGAGACTAATCATGGACATTTTCTGTCTTCGCCAAGAAAAGCATTTTTTCCCCCATTTATTCTCTGCCAGCACCATTTTTTGGACATTCTCGTTAGTATTATTATAAACGGCTGTCAGAATCTGACATGTGAAGAGGTTCTTCTCAAAGAAAGTCCCATATGTTACACAATTGACCAAATCATTCCTGTTCAGTTTCTGAAACTCATAGGAGGTGTGTAAGAGGTGGCCCTGCGTCAGACCAGCAACTCAAATGTGCAGACAACCACGTTCAATGAGTAAAATCTTCCTTTAATAGTCCCCTGGAAATCGGAATGATCATGCACTGGGTGTCATTTCACAACGTTCTCACTCTCTCTGGGCCAAAGGGCCACAAAAGTATGTCAGGAAATGAAAATATCTTTTTCCATATTCATATACACAAGTAAAAAATATATTATGTGATTGAGAAAAGGTAGAATTGATCTCTGGTAACGTTAATAATGTGATGCCTGTAGAATAAACATATGATTCATATTCTCAAAAATAAACCCGCCCCCAAATCAGAATCTTTGTATGCCCTTGTTTGAAAAAACCAGGAACAAAATGCAATATTAGGTGCTGATTTTTTTTTTTTTTTAATTTCTAGGAGAGAGAGAGACAGCGTGAGCAAGGGAGGGTCAGAGAGAGAGGGAGTCACAGACTGAAATAGGCTCCAGGCTCTGAGCTGGCAGTCAGCACAGAGCCCGATGCAGGGCTCGAACCCACGTACCGTGAGATCATGACCTAAGCGAAAGTCAGACGCTTAACCGACTAAGCCACCCAGGCGCCCCTATAAAATGCTGATTTAAAAGGAAAAAGAGAAAGGAACACTATCCGTTTTTCTTCTTCCTTCTCTGCATGTCATTCTTCCTGCTTATCTCTCTCTCATACCTTTCAACCTCATCCCTCTACCCCAAACCCGTCTCCCTCTTTGTAGAAAAAGAAACAATGATTTGCCGAGTGGGTGTTCTGAAATTACTACAGTCCCTGTGGGCACTTTGAGGTAACTCTTACCTGTTTTAGCTGGATCAAAATGTGCTGTGTCGCATCAGTCGACTTCAAAAGGTAATTTCCCCCCAAGGAAGGAGCTAGTGGACTTTCCTCCCACACAAAGTGTATCAACTTTAAATTGTGCCTGCTCGACCATGCTAACGATTTGCTTATCTTACCGCAAGTAGCCAGTCCTTTAATTCATTCATCATGCCTTTTTATAGCTCTCTTAGGAACAAGAGGTGAGGCAGAATTCTGGCTTTGGAGGATGTGTCAGGGCACAGGGGAGGGTAGGAAGATGAGGAGCCGGGGCTCAGTGAGGGGAGAGCTGGCGAGGAGCCACAGCTCACAGGAATCCCTGGGGCCCCACTCACTGTCTGCTAACATTCCCCTGAAGAGTAGCTCCCAAGAGGGTTCCGTCTTCGGAATGTCCCTTATTCTGTAGGTTACGTCTGTGCTCCAGTCACACAAAGGAACACACACACACAGGGTGTGGGGCTGCGCTGCTAAAGTTTGGTGGACTGGAGGAACACGAAGGGAGCGTGTTCCAGAAGGAACAAGAAGTTCTTCCGTCCCAATCTGCTTTTGTGCGCCTCTGGGTCCCCTACCCCGTTGTTCATCATTCACCCTTGGGAGATGGGGGAGGAATGTAAACGGAGAAGATTCTGAATATAAATGGTGGTGTGCCCACACTGGGTGGCATGAACGGAGATGAGGTTTCTGTGCTCATTTGCTTGGATCACCTCGCCACTTAATCTGAAGGAGGACCCCTTCCTTCTCTTCACCTTAAAAATTGACTAAAAATTTAGAATGACCTCCCTCAGGGGCACCTGGGAGGCTCAGACAATTAAGCAGCTGACTTGGGCTCAGCTTGCAGCTAGTGGGTAGGAGCCCCGCATGGGGGTCTGTGCTGACAGCTCAGAGCCCGGAGCCTGCTTCCGATTCTGTGTCTCCCTCTCTGTCTGCCCCTCCCCTGCTCATGCTCTGTCTTTTTCTCCATCAAAAATAAAAATAAATAAATAAGAATGACCTCGTTCATACAAGCACAAATAACTAAACAGGAAGAAGCCTCAAAAATAATATAAACCTGCACATGCCCTGGGGATGCTGTCAAAATTAGCCTTGAGTTAACAAAGAAAAACAGCCCCTAGATTCATTAATATAGTAACATTTTTGTCTGATATTCAGAAATTCTACCTGTACCTCCTTCTGGCTACAGTTACCTTAGAGTTTTAAAGAAGACACTGCATCCCCAGAGGCGTTTGCTATTGCCTTTGTTTTTTGTTTCCAGCCTGTGAAAGAACAGCTCCATTTGCATTTACTGACACTTCTCACCATCTCCCCTTCCCACAGAGGGAAAACCCACAAACAACTCAAGAGGCTGAAAAAAAATCTATAATGAGCACTGCTTGCTACTGGGGGACAGGCAGTGTGCTAAGGGCTTTCCTTTAATTGTGCATTTAATTCTCATAGCCCCAAAAGGTAGAAATGCCATCATTCCCACCTCACAGAAGATGCTGTATTTTACAGTTTTACAGATGGGGCTTCCCGCTTTACAGTTGCTTGCCTGAGGTCCACAGTTAGTCAACGGTGCAACCAGGACTTTAACCCAGACACTGACAAATGAAGTGCTTGCTCGTAGCAAGTACGCTAAACTTTCTGATAAATCAAACCTAACTTTGCTTTTCATCGTTTGCTTAATAGGTATTTTTAGCTATGTACATAAGCTCTGAGCTGACCACAATTTCTAATTTAGGAGAATGCATCAGAATAAGAAAGGGAGTTATGCAGAATCTGGATCAAAAGCCACTGTTTATCATTTTCCTTGAGGCTATTTAACAAAAGCTGTTCATTTGTGCATATTATTGTTCCTGTTTGATGTATTATTTCACACCATGGATCAATGATTTCATACAGTTTTACAGGCCAGTTTGCAAAGTGCAGATTTGGGCCAAAACAAGAACATCTTTCCTGCCTTGCCTTCTTGTTTCAGCCATTAAGTACAGATTTAAGCTATCTCATTTATCCAACGTGCTTGTTTTTAATCTGTGAAAGTCAGGTTTTATCAACATAATTAGCTACGTTTTTAGAAATGGTTACCAAATGTATCCAGTGTCATCTGTAAATCATATCTGGGCTTCCAAGAAAGCACAGTTCGTAGCTACACGATTGCAAAAGAATATTTTTGGCAAGAAATGATCCAGCACATTCCGTATGGGTATCCTAACAAATGAACTGTGCCTACCCAGCAAATATTTTACTAAGAATTACTGAAAGCCATTTTGTTCTGCTTTATTAAAGGGAGGGTTTTCAGTCAAATCTGCTTTTCTTTTTAAATTTATAATTTATACCTCCACCTGCTTTCATCAAGGATTTGAGGTGGTCCAAGTCAAATCAGTTCATTGTGACCCAGTCTCCTGGGCCTCAGCATCATTCAGCTGTGGCTGCCTGTAAATCTTGCCTATGTGGAGAAGTGTCTTCTCTATTTTGTTGCAGGATACGCAGAATAACTTTTTTGTACGTTGTATCTTGCAAAGCCAAACACTCTAGGAAAATAGGGAGAAATCTTCAAAAAGCTTTCAGGCAAATTTATTGAGTGCCATGCACCAGTCATTATGTTAAATGCTCTCACACAATTTTCCTGACTTTCAAAGAGGATCTTAAGAAAACAAGAGGCAGCAGGAAGCTCACTCATCCCTGAGGCTGTGTTACCAGCACAGAGCAGGCTCCCTGAGGGCAGGCAAGATGTTGCCACACAGGCCACAGCAGTTTCTGCTTGCTTTGCTCCGTCCTACCTTCCAGAATGGACCTGGCCAGTAATGTTTGGATGAATGCTTTGTGCTATGAATAGTCTTGAAGAAAAAAAAAACAACGGTAACAAGGAAAGAGAAAGAAAGAAAGCTCTAGAAAGAATCATCCACAGAAAGTAGATTTTATTTGGGTCTCCCTCCTTTTGCGGTCACCACCAAGACAGATGTTTCTCCCCAACTTTGGCACCTTCCTGAAGGGCTGATCCTCAAAGTAATTGGGTTACTATAACCTCCTGGCTCTTAATTGACAAGAAGTGGTCCTCAGCAATTCTAGAGGGACCTAAGCAGATGACAAAGAATTCAGAGAGATCAAAGGCCTAAACAAAACTCATGATGTGCTGTTGGGCAGACAGAGTGCTTTCGCTTAGCCTGCATATATGCATCTTTGAGCCATTTTGGTTCCAAAGATGACCCTTTGTTGACTCCTTCCACGTTATGTAGACAGCATAGATCATAATAGAATAATGTAAAGGGCAAAAACAAAAGTCCACACAAATTTCCGCAATAAGTATTTATTGTTTTCCTAATAAGAAAATCTCACATGTATTCTCATTTGCAAATGTATTTTGTACAGATGTTTATGCTCTATATTAAAAGCTTAAATTGTTCATAGAGGAAGAGATAAGATTGATATGTAGTTGATATGATGCCAAAACACAAATGCACGAACATTTCTAAAAGTTCTTTCCCCATGGCAAACTATGCACAGAAATGTTATGTATTTTCCTAGTTTGTTTGTGCATACGATCTAAACTAAACAAAATACAGGAAATTCAGAGAGAAATTCAGAGAGAGTGAAGTGGCCATTTGTGGATGTCCCAGTGTGCTGGGACTGTACTCAAATGTCACTGTAGCCCAGAACCAAAGACCTAGACACACAATTTTTGTCAGTCCATTTAAGGTAATCCTTCTCTCAGTAAATGAATTCATGCTAACTAATTGATTACAGAATACAGTTTAGCTCAGAAAGATCACTGAGTCATTTATAATGACCAAGAAAAATTGTCAGACTAGAATCTGCATAAATTCTCTCTAGACCAGAACAATTTGAAGAAGACAAAGGGTAGCCAAATCTAGGTGAACTCAAATTCGAGGCAAGGCACAGTAATTGGATGATATTAGTGGCAGCTGGTCAAATCACTATAGTCTGATGTGTCCTTTTGCACCAAAGGGACTGACTTGCTGGGTAGATTGGAATGCTATCTCAGATGCCAGAGTTGTTCCTGTCCCCCATAAAGAGCTGGAGACCCATTCTTGCTCTGTTATATCCATAAGCCAGACCCACTATGATGATCACTTTTCTCCTGTTAACATATCCTTCTTGGGCAGCCTGTAATTCACTTAAGCAGGCTTCAGATTCCACTGTTATAATAGTGTTCTGGCCAGGCCATTGTGATACTATACCCAAGGCACTGAATATAAGCCGTCGTTGATCCATAGCCACCTAACCCAGGATGCTTCTACAAAAGGATGCTCTAATTACTTAATTAACTTTTATTAAATTAGATTAAATTAGATTTTTCTTAATTTTATTCTCAGGTGGTAACTTTAGATTTAAGTTGCAGCTGGATGTCTCTCCTATGTACTTACAGCTGCCTTGTGGATATTCCTTTTAATGTAATCCTGTCTAATAACAGACTACAGCTCCCTTTTATTGAAAAAGAGAGAGAGAGAGATACAGACAGCAAGAGTTTGATTATTCAATGATTTTATGACGACAAAAAGTCTAGTTTTTTGAAAAAGGAATTGCTATCAATTGATAGCAGTGTTTCTCTAACATAATAAAAGTAGTCTTGTGTGAAGTTTATGGATATGTTTAACCATTTCATTTGTTGTCACTTGACAGAGTGAAAGGAGCCTCACTCAATTTATCCTGGAGTGGAATTCAGTTTAAAATGGATTGATTTAGGGGGGCCGGGGTGGTTCAGTTGGTTACACGCCTGACTCTTAATTTCAGCTCAGGTCATGATCTCACAGTTTGAGCCCTGCATCAGGCTCTGCACTGAGAGCATGGAGCCTGCTTGGGATTCTCTTTGTGTCCCTCCTCTGCTCTCTCTCTCTCTCTCAATAAATAAATAAACTTAAAAAAAGAATTTTGTATGAACCAATTTAAAACTTTGAACCGATAAAAGGAGGGTTAGTTCAAAGACACTGCAAACCTAACAGAGGAAGATAAATAATGAAGATCAGAGCAGAAGTAAACAGTATAGAATCCAAAAAAACTAATTGAACAGATCAATGAAACTAAGAATTGGTTTTTTGAAAAAATAAAATTAATAAACCTGTAGCCAGACTTCTCAAAAAGAAAAGAGAGAGGACCCAAATAGATAAAATCACGAATGGAAGTGATTTTATTACAACCAATCCCTCAGAAATACAAGCAATTATCAGGGAATACTATGAAAAATTATATGCCAACAAACTGGACAACCTGGAAGAAATGGACAAATTCCTAGATACCCACACACTACCAAAACTCAAATGGGAAGAAACAGAAAATTTGAACAGACCGATAACTAGTGAAGAAACTGAATCAGGTATCAAAAATCTCCCAACAAATAAGAGTCCTGGACCAGATGGC